TCAGCTCAAAGTGATTTTAATTTAAGAAATCTGTCCAAATATTCCCACACATAATAGAGAGACACGTGATCGTATACAAATGTTAGCAAGGTTTGAAATTATTATGTTTTAGTCAAACATATCTGTTTGGGCTTCTTGCGGTCAATTTGAAGTCTACAAATTATTTGTAATTATGTTCCGGCCCCCCGACCATCCGCTCCAGAAGAAAATCGGCCCGCGGCTGAATCTAGTTGATGATCCCTGACGTACAGTGTACACTATCTATACAAAAGTATGTGGACACCCCTTCAAATTCGTGGATTCGGCTATTTCAGCCACACCCGTTGCTGACAGGTGTATAAAATCGAGCACACAGCCATGCAATCTCCATAGACAAACATTGGCAGTACAATGGCCTTACTGAAGAGCTCAGTGACTTTCAACGTGACACCGTCATAGGATGCCACCTTTCCAACAAGTCAGTTTGTCAAATTTCTGCCCTGCTAGAGCTGCACCGGTCAACTGTAAGTGCTGTTATTGTGAAGTGGAAACGTCTAGGAGCAACAATGGCTCAGCCGCAAAGTGGTAGGCCACACAAGCTCACAGAACAGGCACGCTGAAGTGCATAGCGCGTAAAAGTCTGTCCTCAGTTGCAACACTCACTACCAAGTTCCAAACTGCCTCTGAAAGCAACGTCAGCACAATAACTGTTCGTCGGGAGCTTCATGAAATGGGTACACAAGCCTAAGATCACCATGCGCAATGCCAAGCATCGGCTGGAGTGGTGTAATGCTCGCCGCCATTGGACTCTGGAGCAGTGGAAACGCATTCTCTGGAGTGATGAATCACGCTTCACCATCTGGCAGTCCAACGGACAAATCTGGGTTTGGCGGATGCCAGGAGAACACTACCTGCCCAAATGCATAGTGTCAACTGTAAAGTTTGGTGGAGGAGGGATAATGGTCTGGGGCTGTTTTTCATGGTTAGGGCTAGGTCCCTTAGTTCCAGTGATGGGAAATCTCAACGCTACAGCATAAAATTACATTGTAGACGATTCTGTGCTTCCAACTTTGTGGCAACAGTTTGGGGAAGGCCCTTTCCTGTTTCAGCATGACAATGCCCCATGCACAAAGCGAGGTCCATACAGAAATGGTTTGTCGAGATCGGTGTGGAAGAATTTGACTACCCTGCACAGAGCCCTGACCTCAAGCCCATCGAACACCCTTGGGATGAATTGGAACGCCGACTGCGAGCCAGGCCTAATCGCCCAACATCAGTGCCTGACCTCACTAACGCTCGTGGCTGAATGGAAGCAAGTCCCCGCAGCAATGTTCCAACTTCTAACGGAAAGCCTTCCCAGAAGAGTGGAGGCTGTTATACCATGATTTTGGAATAAGATGTTCGACGAGCAGGTGTCCACATACTTTTGGTTATGTAGTATATGTGCAATATGTAACTTTTTGGGCAACCCGACCAAATTCACAAAGAAAAGTCAGTTATAGATCTATCATTCTAATTGAAAGCAAGTCTAAGAAGCGGTAGATCTGTTCTACAGTATGTGTGCTATTTCTATGCTTCCTGTTCTTAAATTAATTTGAGTCTTTTACTTTAGGTTTTGTACACCAGCTTCAAACAACTGAAAATACAATTTCACAGCGCTTTAGATGGTACAATGATTCTCTACACAATGACTGCTTGTTTTGTCACAAACTGAAATTAAGCTAACTATTCTAATTTTATCAAACAGAAAATGCCGGAGCGATTTCTGCATATTGCACCATTCATATAATAAATGAACAACGCTGACACAAAAATTTAACAAAAACGGATTTTAATTTTGGTAGGTTACATTAGCTGTGGTATGTACAAGGTGTATCGGACAGAAAAAGGGTCTGGTAAACCTCAGCACCTATGCCCCTGCTTCTATGGAAGAATCATGGTTGGTATGTCGTTTCAGTGGGAAGAGATCAGAGTTGAGAATACCCCCAATATGGCTGGATGTCAAAACAACCCAGAGAAGAGGCCCAGAATTTCCCAAAGTCCTGAAAATAATTCACCCTTTATCTACAATAGTAGCTTCTTATTTACAACCAATCTGTACATCATGTTCACATTTACAATGAGCAGGACAGTACCTGAAGGAGTAAGAGCACATCATCTCTAGGTGGAAGGATGGGGAGAAATGTATGGCAGGGAGACGGGGGGTGTTCAAAGCTTCAGATCTGTTGAGCAGCTTGAAGGAAGGTAAGAACCATTAGTGATAACTGAAGATGGACATGTGATATACACTGAGTGCATCCCTTCATGGCAGCTGTGTATCCATCTGCAAATAAAAAAAATTCAGCAGGATAATGCCCCATGCCACAAGGCTAGGATTGTCCAGGAATGGTTCCACAAACAACAGTGGGCTGCCCAGTCACCAGGTCTAAATCCAACTGATTATCTGTTGGATGAGATAGAACAAGCTATTCAGAGTGGAGATCCACTACCAGTCAACTAGACACAACTGTGGAAAGCATTGGAGTCAACATGGGCCAGCATCCCTGTGGAACGCTTTCGACACCTTGTAGAGTCCATGCCCTAAAGAATTGAGGCTGTTCTGAAGGCTGAAGCGGGTTCAACTCAATATTAGGAAGGTGTTCCTAATGTTTTATACACTCAGTGCGCATGAGAATTGTTAGGTAATTACAATTTCAAAGAAACCTTTATCTGGTATGGTGACAATAGTTCTCCCAAATCTAATAATTCAAACCAGTTTACGTTGGATTCAAAATAATTGGGAAAGAGCTCTGCCTTCCCTATTTCCGCATGCTTTTGAATTCATCGCTAAATGGTTTATTCTGTTTCCAGTAGCATTACTAGCTATGCTACAAAAAAGTTGCAAGAGTACGGGTGTTGTTAAACCCCACTGTCCTGGCTAAATTCCCAGTCAGGCCCTCAGACAATCGTGCCTACATAATCACCCCGATTCATAATTAGGATGATGCACTTCCTCATCTGTCCTCTGTGACAGCTGGGTGATGTTCACTAGGAAACACGGGTATTAAAATTTTTTGAAACAGAAAACGAAACAAGTCCAGGTAGTGCCTCCCCGTTTCAGTCTTTTTCTTCTGTTTCATGCCTACTGAACTCGAGCGTCATCATCCAGGTGGAAGTAGTAGATAAAGAGTAAAGCTCTTTGAGCGCCTGCTACACAAATCTAATTCATTATTATTATTATTATTATTATTATTAATAAAATAAGAAACCATGAAAACGACTTCTCCTGCCTTGAAACTTAAACAACGGTCAGAGAACGTTCAGTTTCAGCCACAAACCAATACATTTTCTGTAATGGGCCTTCTGGCATCTGCATGGCTAAAATCTGGCTGTGCAACACATTAGCAGTAAGCTTATTGAGGAAAACAGAAAGCAATACATTATAAAATAACATGAACAAAAACACTTAAAACGGGACTTGTTTCAAATCTGGAGCCTCTCATTTTCTCCTAGTGAAATAGATGCCATCGGCCCAATACTTAAAGTGTACCAGAGCCCTGCAATAGTTTCATTTTAGTGTCATTTCAGTCAGAGGAAAATATACCAAAATGGCCCCACAGCAGTGTTGTATGAATCATAATTGTTGCAAAACTATTGTCAATTTTCTCTCTCATTATACAATGTAAATGCACAATTTTGAAGCAAGTTATCCTCCATTGAAACCAACCAGGACAATACACTCTCCCTTTATTTTGTGTGTATGTGTTTTGTTATGGTACAAGGTGTGCATGTGTTTATTTAGTGCTTGTGCATGTGTGTGCAGTACTGTATGTGCAAACATAGTGTTTGAGGATGTGTATATGAAGAGGTGCACATACTGTAAATATTCAGTATGTTTTTGATTGTGTGATGCAGCGTTTCAGAGTGGGCTTCAGTTCACTGGTTTCACAGGCCTAGCTGGATACCCAGCCTTTACGGGCCTCCACTCTCTTCCTGGTTCCCTGTGGGTCAAAGGTTGAATCATGAAGGGCACAAAGTCTCTGTCACTTTAACAAAGTTCCTCCTCCAAGGCCCTTCTGAACCATTCAAACTCAGGTTGTCATGTTAAATTTTTTCTCCCAGTCTGGGTGACTCAGGAGTCAGTTGATTTCTGATTCTGAAGTTACTCCATCCTTCCAGCTCCTCCTCATTTTAGTACCCGCAACATTGTTCTCTCTGTTGAAGTCGTCACAACAGGTAAATCATTTATTATTAAAATCCTGAGGACTGAACGATAATCCTCCTCCCCCTCTATCTCTGCCTCCCCCAGTCAGAGACCTCCCTCCCCCTCTATCTCTGCCTCCCCCAGTCAGAGACCTCCCTCCCCCCTATCTCTGCCTCCCCCAGTCAGATACCTCCCTCCCACCTATCTCTGCCTCCCCCAGTCAGAGACCTCCCTCCCCCCTATCTCTGCCTCCCCCAGTCAGAGACCTCCCTCCCCCCTATCTCTGCCTCCCCCAGTCAGAGACCTCCCTCCCCCCTATCTCTGCCTCCCCCAGTCAGAGACCTCCCTCCCCCCAATCTCTGCCTCCCCCAGTCAGAGACCTCCATCCCCCCTATCTCTGCCTCCCCCAGTCAGAGACCTCCCTCCCCCCCATCTCTGCCTCCCCCCCATCTCTGCCTCCCCCAGTCAGAGACCTCCCTCCCCCCTATCTCTGCCTCCCCCAGTCAGAGACCTCCCTCCCCCTATCTCTGCCTCCCCCAGTCAGAGACCTCCCTCCCCCTATCTCTGCCTCCCCCAGTCAGAGTCCCTGGGTGGGTGTGGCCACCAGGGGTGGGGTGGGCGGGTGTGGTAGAGATGGGACAGAATACGGTTTCAAGGAGGATGCGTCATGTCTTTACCACACTAGTCCAGAGGGCGGTGGTAACACCAATAAACATTGGCTTGCACACCACCGTTAAAACACCAAAGAAGAAGAAGCAGCCCCGCCCATGGCCCATCATCACGCCTTGTATATGTTGACGGGGCTGCTAAGCGCCAGCTGGCCGTTGGGCGCCACCTCCATGCCGGCCTCTTCCTCCAGCAAGCCCGACACGTCTCCCATGTTGGGCAGGCTGTCATGGTAGCTGCTGATGCTGATGTTATCCTCCTTCAGCTCGATGGTCCAAAACGGAGCGTTCAGCTTGCGATTGCGGTACTCGCGGTAGGTGTAGACACCGCCCGCCACGCCCATCAGCACCACCACCGCCACGATGATCACCGCCAAGACGATGACATTGAACTGGGTCCAGGACACCTCGGAGATGGCGGCCGTGGTGTTGGTGAGGAGACCTGGTGTGGTGCTGGAGGCTGTGGTGGTCAGCTGAGTGGTGGTGGCGTTGGAGGTGGAAGTCATGGTGTGGTCACTAGAGGGGGTAGTGGTGGTGGAGCGCAGGGTCAGAGTGGTGGTGGTGGGGGCAGTCGTTGTCCTGTTCTGCTCAGGGGTGGGAGTGACTATGGCTGGGGAAGAGAGGCAAGTGTGTATGTTAGCACAAGGAACGCTTCACTGTCTTGTCTCGTGATAAAGGTCACTGCTAATTGTTTTACTATTATGCATCCTCAGCTTGGTTTGTTTATTTTATTATATATCTTTATACACTGCTCAAAAAAATAAAGGGAACACTTAAACAACACATCCTAGATCTGAATGAATGAAATAATCTTATTAAATACTTTTTTCTTTACATAGTTGAATGTGCTGACAACAAAATCACACAAAAATTATCAATGGAAATCAAATGTATCAACCCATGGAGGTCTGGATTTGGAGTCACCCTCAAAATTAAAGTGGAAAACCACACTACAGGCTGATCCAACATTGATGTAAAGTCCTTAAAACAAGTCAAAATGAGGCTCAGTAGTGTGTGTGGCCTCCACGTGCCTGTATGACCTCCCTACAACGCCTGGGCATGCTCCTGATGAGGTGGCGGATGGTCTCCTGAGGGATCGCCTCCCAGACCTGGACTAAAGTATCCGCCAACTCCTGGACAGTCTGTGGTGCAACGTGGCGTTGGTCGATGGAGCGAGACATGATGTCCCAGATGTGCTCAATTGGATTCAGGTCTGGGGAACGGGCGGGCCAGTCCATAGCATCAATGCCTTCCTCTTGCAGGAACTGCTGACACACTCCAGCCACATGAGGTCTAGCATTGTCTTGCATTAGGAGGACCCCAGGGCCAACCGCACCAGCATATGGTCTCACAAGGGGTCTGAGGATCTCATCTCAGTACCTAATGGCAGCCAGGCTACCTCTGGCGAGCACATGGAGGGCTGTGCGGCCCCCCAAAGAAATGCCACCCCACATCATGACTGACCCACCGCCAAACCGGTCATGCTGGAGGATGTTGCAGGCAGCAGAACGTTCTCCACGGCGTCTCCAGACTGTCACATGTGCTCAGTGTGAACCTGCTTTCATCTGTGAAGAGCACAGGGCGCCAGTGGCGAATTCGCCAATCTTGGTGTTCTCTGGCAAATGCCAAACCTGCACGGTGTTGGGCTGTAAGCACAACCCCCACCTGTGGACATCGGGCCCTCATACCACCCTCATGGAGTCTGTTTCTGACCGTTTGAGCAGACACATGCACATTTGTGGCCTGCTGGAGGTCTTTTTGCAGGGCTCTGGCAGTGCTCCTCCTGCTCCTCCTTGCACAAAGGCGGAGGTAGCGGTCCTGCTGCTGGGTTGTTGCCCTCCTACGGCCTCCTCCACGTCTCCTGATGTACTGGCCTGTCTCCTGGTAGCGCCTCCATGCTCTGGACACTACGCTGACAGACACAGCAAACCTTCTTGCCACAGCTCGCATTGATGTGCCATCCTGGATGAGCTGCACTACCTGAGCCACTTGTGTGGTTGTAGACTCCGTCTCATGCTACCACTAGAGTGAAAGCACCGCCAGCATTCAAAAGTGACAAAAACATCAGCCAGGAAGCATAGGAACTGAGAAGTGGTCTGTGGTCACCACCTGCAGAACCACTTCTTTATTGGGGGTGTCTTGCTAATTGCCTATAATTTCCAACTGTTGTCTATTCCATTTGCACAACAACATGTGCAATTTATTGTCAATCAGTGTTGCTTCCTAAGTGGACAGTTTGATTTCACAGAAGTGTGATTGACTTGGAGTTACATTGTGTTGTTTAAGTGTTCCCTTTATTTTGTTGAGCAGTGTATATACTTATTCAATGGTGATTACAGGGGAATATCTCACATTCACAGAAACGTTGCTAATGTACATTTAACTCAGTGTGAATCCATTGTTATAATCTAGTGTTATATTACCACTTTTAAGAGTGTTGAAAAAATAACACTGCCTTAGAGTTACATTGTCAAAATGTTAATTTAACACAGACAGTAAGAGAGTTAAATTTAACACTGCCAGAGTTAATTGCTTTGAAGCGCTCGTCATCCATATGAAAAGATACTCGGTAGAACAATGATGATGATTATTCTTAAATGATTCTGACCTTTGCAGCTGTGGATGATGGCACTACCCACGTAGCCTTCAGCGCAGCGCTCGCAGTGTTTCCCCGACGTGTTGTTGACACAGCTCAGGCAGTGGCCCGTCTCAGGGTTGCAGATGCGGGGCGAGGTCCCGGGGTCGGCGTTCCCGCTGCAGTTGCAAGGCAGGCAGATGCTGTCCGCGTTATAGAAGCCACCCCTGCACTGGTCACAGTGGGGCCCCTGGTACTCTGGCTTACACTGGTCACACACAGATTGTCCACTGGGGTCTGGGATGAAGACAGAGACATCACAGCTGGGTTCAGTATGAGGAGTCAAGAATACCTTCTACCACTAGGTGGTGGTAGCGTACTATGGGATCAAACATTTGTAACGCTTGACTGGAGCGTGGGTTGTGTTGGTATGATAGACAATTGAAACTGAAAATAGAAAGTATACTTTACACACCACAAGAGCTTTTTTGTGAGAACAAAGATCATTTCCGACATCCCTTATTTGTTTTCAAGATGGCAAATCTCTGCACAAAAGAACATTTCTCAGGATGCATATAAGCACTGTGGCAGAAATGTAACACCAGAGACAACTTCAAATGTGAACCAATCACGAATGTGTTAGGGTAAAATGTCCCTCCCACTTGCAATATATTGATGGGTTACATTTATTCTCTCTGTGGATAAGAAGTCAACATACAGTACGGCATTGCCTTGCTCAGCTGGTAGAGCATGGTGTTTGCAAAGCCAGGATAGTGGGTTCAATTCCCAGGACTACCCATAGGTAAAATGTATGCACTCATGACAAAGTTGCTTTGGATAAAAGTGTCTGCTAAATGGAATATATTATTATTATTGACAAAGATGCTAGGATACCATCAAGAAGCTAAGTACACTAATTTTCAACACCGATCCCATCACACTAAGATCCCTTCACACTAAGATGGTGTCACACTAAGATGGTGTCACACTAAGATGGTGTCAAACTACGATGGTGTCACACTACGATGGTGTCACACTACGATGGTGTCACACTAAGATGGTGTCACACTAAGATGGTGTCACACTACGATGGTGTCACACTACGATGGTGTCACACTAAGATGGTGTCACACTAAGATCCTGTCACACTAAGATCCTGTCACACTAAGATCCCGTCACACTAAGATGGTGTCACACTAAGATCCTGTCACACTAAGATCCTGTCACACTAAGATCCTGTCACACTAAGATCCCGTCACACTAAGATGGTGTCACACTACGATGGTGTCACACTAAGATGGTGTCACACTAAGATGGTGTCACACTACGATGGTGTCACACTACGATGGTGTCACACTAAGATGGTGTCACACTAAGATCCTGTCACACTAAGATCCTGTCACACTAAGATCCCGTCACACTAAGATGGTGTCACACTAAGATCCTGTCACACTAAGATCCTGTCACACTAAGATCCTGTCACACTAAGATCCCGTCACACTAAGATGGTGTCACACTCAAATGGTGTCACACTAAGATCTTGTCACACTACGATGGTGTCACACTAAGATCCCGTCACACTAAGATGGTGTCACACTAAAATGGTGTCACACTAAAATGGTGTCACACTAAAATGGTGTAACACTAAGATCCTGCCACACTAAGATGGTGTCACACTAAAAATCCTGTCACACTAAGATGGTGTCACACTAAAATGGTGTAACACTAAGATGGTGTCACACTAAGATGGTGTCACACTAATATCCCGTCATACTAAGATCCCGTCACACTAAGAAGGTTGTCACACTAAGATCTCGTCACACTAAGATGGTGTCACACTAAGATCCCGTCACACTAAGATGGTGTCACACTCAAATGGTGTCACACTAAGATCCCGTCACACTAAGATGGTGTCACACTCAAATGGTGTCACACTAAGATCCTGTCACACTAAAATGGTGTCACACTAAAATGGTGTAACACTAAGATCCCGTTACACTAAGATGGTGTCACACTAAGATGGTGTCACACTAAGATGGTGTCACACTAAAATGGTGTCACACTAAGATCCCGTCACACTAAGATGGTGTCACACTAAGATCCTGTCACACTAAGATGGTGTCACACTAAAATGGTGTCACACTAAAATGGTGTAACACTAAGATCCCGTCACACTAAGATGGTGTCACACTAAGATGGTGTCACACTAATATCCCGTCACACTAAGAAGGTTGTCACACTAAGATCCCGTCACACTACAATGGTGTCACACTAAGATGGTGTCACACTAAAATGGTGTCACACTAAGATCCTGTCACACTAAAATGGTGTCACACTAAAATGGTGTAACACTAAGATCCCGTCACACTAAGATGGTGTCACACTAAGATGGTGTCACACTAATATCCCGTCACACTAAGAAGGTTGTCACACTAAGATCCCGTCACACTACAATGGTGTCACACTAAGATGGTGTCACACTAATATCCCGTCACACTAAGATCCCATTACACTAAGATCCCGTCACACTAAGATGGTGTCACACTAAGATCCTGTCACACTAAGATCCTGTCACACTAAGATCCTGTCACACTAAGATCCCGTCACACTAAGATCCCGTCACACTAAGATGGTGTCACACTCAAATGGTGTCACACTAAGATCCTGTCACACTAAGGATCCGTCACACTAAATGGTGTACACTAAGATCCCGTCACACTAGGATCCCGTCACACTACGATGGTGTCAAACTAAGATCCCGTCACACTACGATGGTGTCACACTAAAATGGTGTCACACTAAAATGGTGTAACACTAAGATCCCGTCACACTAAGATCCCGTCACACTAAGATGGTGTCACACTAAGAGGGTGTCACACTAAGATGGTGTCATACTACGATGGTGTCACACTACGATGGTGTCACACTACGATGGTGTCACACTAAGATGGTGTCACACTAAGATGGTGTCACACTAAGATGGTGTCACACTAAGATGGTGTCACACTAAGATCTGTCACACTAAGATCCGTCACACTAAGATCCCGTCACACTAAGATCCCGTCACACTAAGATCCCGTCACACTAAGATCCCGTCACACTAAGATCCCGTCACACTAAGATCCCGTCACACTAAGATCCCGTCACACTAAGATCCCGTCACACTAAGATCCCGTCACACTAAGATCCCGTCACACTAAGATCCCGTCACACTAAGATCCTGTCAAACTAAGAAGGTTGTCACACTAAGATCCCGTCACACTAAGATCCTGTCAAACTAAGAAGGTTGTCACACTAAGATCCCGTCACACTACAATGGTGTCACACTAAGATGGTGTCACACTAAGATGGTGTCACACTAAGATGGTGATTTGTCCTCTGCACATACTGTACACCTAGTTGACCAGAAACATCCAATGTCGCTCTGTGGCCACAATCCTATCATCAGATGAATTTTACAACCAGATGTACACAGGGCCCAACAGTCTAGAACACAAAATATTAGAAAGAATGGTGGAATTGTATGAGCAGCTTGTACTGTACTATTAAACTGAAGCCCCAACATATGACTGACATTTCTGTTCTACATCTGAGCTCCACAATCTGTGCGGTTGCTTCCACTTCTACCCTTTGTGTCTGTGCAGTCTTTACTCCCAATCTAATTAAAAAACGATTAACCACAGAAGTCTCTGTTATCCGCCGGAGGCGAGTCGTGTTCAAACTAACTGTAAAAACAAACCATAACAAGATTTCCTCACAGTGCATCATCTTTGTTTTTTAAGCCCAGAATTTTAATCACTAAGCTCAAAATGGATGTGTCGTGGCCCACAACGTCTAAGGTCTTCAGAGATAAAACATGCCAGAGAGACTGTGGGTACAGTAATCTCGTTCCCAGACACTTCTGCCCACTGGGATACTGTAGTTTAATAGCTTTCATTGCATGTTGACAATGCCCAACTTACCCGAACTAAGAGTGAGTACTGACTTCAAATGTATTGTTAGATATCATGAATTAATCAATCGGTCACGTGCTCTTCTTTTTATGGCAACGAGAGGGAATTAAAGAATGCAAAAGCACAATTTATTTCACTCTTTTACTATTCGAGTTAACTTTACCTCAGGATTGTTCAATTCTGAGGAAGATAAAAAAAAAAAGGAGTGAAATTTGCTCTGGTGCAAAGGCTTGGTGATATACACATCTAGTTCCTACACTGTTGAATCAGGAAGCAATGAACCGGTAAGCACTAGGACCTCTCTCTGTACCTTCTCTCACTTTGCCTTCTGCATTGGACTGCCAACAGAATGTAAAACAAGCTGATCAAAGGACATCCACTCGTCGGATGACTGCGACTCTGGGGGAACACACTTTGAGCTAAACCAATTTCACAGGTAATGTGCAGAGTAACAGACTAGGAGGATAATGACCATCATCAGCCACAGCAGGGAAACGGGAAATAGAAAGCGGTGACATTAAGTGAAATATTAGAGGGGCTCATTTAAAAGCATTTACTGTTGCAGCAGAGAGGCTGCAAATTCATTTCACACACACGTGTACACACACAGTGACAGATTAGTGATGCACGCTGTAAGTATTCAGGTGCCTCAGAAACTCCTTGAAACCTGTGTGGTGTGTGCCAGATGATTGTAGGGAGCCTAAGGACACTACGTTCTCTAGTGAAAAAGTGTCATATGACGAAGAGAAACAGAGTGAGACACCGAGAGAGAAACAGTTTCCTCTTTTAGCATTGGCCTTTTTACCTTTTGCCTAATAAACATCCAGCCCCAGCGTATTGGGTGAACCAGAGTGTAAAATAATTTCCATTGCAAATGTGATAAATAAATCCTTCCTGTGCAATTAATTTGACTTTTGCCACAGGGGAGTCCCATTTTAAACCATACAGAACTGCTGTATTAATATTGGTCAAAACACAGACTTGTATCAGTCTGCAGAAATTGCCTGAGCCTACAAGGTCATAGCCATAACTAAAGCAGAGCTCGAACCTCTGACGTCCCCTTGTCCCACCATACCTTATTTATCTCAGTGTGCAGCTTCCAGTGAACAGCAGAGGGGAAATTGTGTTAGTTCGATTTTGACCTTGGTGTTTTTTACATGACTAATGCCATACTCGGCCTACTGCCATAATCCGTTTGATATCGAATTATTAGTGTGCATGTAAAACGTGCTCAGCGTTTCATATACTGTTTTGGGCTATAGAGTGGCCCCGGAGCGGGAAACGGAGCAAGGGGCCACTCTGGACTTGGTCTGAAAAACACAGGATTACAGGAAGTTCTATTGTTGGTCCGCTCCTGTGTTGTGGAAGG